ACATTATGAAACTTACTGCTGTTCCAGCACCCCTGCCAATGTCAAGTGATGCATAAGAATATCTTACCAACCTATGGCACTCTAAGAAATAATAAATCATTTAATAAATACAAAATAGAAACACAAATTTTATGGAGTTGAAATAAACCTATGAAACTGGGATGCCTAATTAGCAAAACCAAACATACCATCTTATATAGCACGAAAGCCCTACTCCTCATCCTTAAAAAAGCATAAACTGTAGAAGACCAGTATGAGATTAATCATAAACAGCATGACTACAGAAGGAGCAGTAGAATAAGGTAGTTAAAAGCTTAGATTTAGGGTCAAGAATTTCTAGGTCTAATTCTCTGCTCTGCGAAGTTGTGTGACTTTAAGCAGGCTACTAAAATCTCACAGTGTCTGAGTTTACTCACAGATAAAATGAAAATAGTAATTATTTATAAAAATTTCGTTAGTATCACATGAACTCAACCTTGTACAGAAAATGTGTAATGAATATTAGTTGCTGTTTTTGTTGTCATTATTATAAAAAATGATTTTTCCCAATGTTTCCTGCTACAGGGGTGGAGGGTAGAGGGTAGAGAGAAAATTTCACAGAAGTGGCTCTAAATAAAACGCCATTGGAGTAGTTGGTACAGGTGCACAGGAGTAACGATGAACATGTAGTGGAAGAATGATGAGAGCTAAAGTCAAGACAAGAGGAAAAGACAGGATTCTGAAGTTCCTAAATACCTCCCTTAGGCACAGGAGAAGTGCATTCAGTATGGTGAGAAAGATGACACTGAAAGATATCAACAAGAAATTACACAATTACCTGAAGTTTGAAGTGGTATTGAAAATGGCTATAGTAGATAAATTCTAGAGGTGACATCATTTAGAAGGTTACCGAAGAGACTAGGTAGAAGGTAATCCAAGATAACGTGTTAGAGTTGACTAACGTAGAAATTTCCGGAGATAAAGAATAAATACATTGAGAGCAATTTAGAAGATACAATGAGGAGGAGTAGATGAATCAACACATGGAGAAGGGTGAGGAAGAAGAAGGATTACAGTACACAAGAATTTCACACTTGACCATAAGACAATGGAAGGATTGAGTGGTGACGCCATTAATCAATCAGGATCCTGAACACTTGCACAACACTATCAATTACTTTTACCTAAGTGACATTTATAGAACATTCCATAAAAGTGAGATGAGTTGAATACACTCTGTTTTCAAATACACAGAACATTTATCATCAGGGAGCATTTTCTGGGGCATAAAACAATTCTAAATAAAGTTAAAATGATTCAGGTCATGCAAACACATTCTTACGATATGGATTTAAATTGGAAGTTAAGAACATATGGGAAAATAGGTATGTTTACCCTGATTTAAACATTACACAAAATATAACACTCATGGAAACATCACATGTTACTCCATTTATAAATATATATAATTTGTATGTTTTATGTACTAGGTAAAATACATTTAATTTTAAAAAGTTAATAAGAATAGAGATATATCTAGGAAGTCTCAAAATGTTTATACACCATATTTCTAAATATCCTATAAAAGAAGTTAAAAGGACAATTGCCAAGCATTCTGAACTGACTGAAAATAAAAGTACCACACAGCAAAATTTTGGTGGGCAGCAAAAGTAATATATTTACAAATTTGTAATACTAATTGCCTATATTAGAAAAAATAGGATAACACTCAAACTAATGAGCAAAATCTTTAAGAAAACAGAAAAAGAAGAATAAATTGAACTTGAGCTAAAGAGAAGAAAAGAAGCAATAATGATTCGGGCAGAAATCAATGATACAGGAAAAAAAGAATAGAACCAGTCAACAAGCTAAGCTGATTCCCTGGAAAAATCAATGAATTTCACAGCAATGTAGACATGCGTAGAGAGAGGGACAAGCAAACATGTTACCAATATCAGGAATGAGAGAGAGCAAACTACTATAGACTAAACGGACAATACAGGAAGAACAACTTTACACAATTAAATTTGAAAATATAATCAAAATAGAAGGATTCCATGAGAAATACAAACTACTGAAACTCATGCAGAAGAAACAGATAATCTAGATAGCTCTATATTTACTAAATGAATTGAATCTGTAGTTTAAAGAAATGTTTCCAACAAGGAAACTCTAACCCAGACAGCTTCTCTAATAAATACTATAAAACATGCTGGGAATAAAATAATGTAATTCTTTAAACTCTTATTCATAAACCTGAAGAGAAAGCAATAGTTTACAATTCATTCTTTAAATAAGACATCATTAACCAAACCAGACAAAAACATTTCAAGAAAATAAAGCAACATGCATTTAATAATGTATTTTTACCAATTGGGACCTATCCCAGGAAGGTGAGATTGATTTAATATATGAAAATCAATCAAATTCACCATTTAATAAACTAAAGAAAAATCATTTCAACTAACGCAGAAAGAGCATTTGACAAAATCCAACATTATTTACTGATAAAAACTCTCGGCAAACTATAACTACAAAAGTCCTGACGTTAATAAAGGTCATTCACCAAGTTACTGGTAACATCATCGCTAATGGTAATAGACTTAATATTTTCCCCTAATATCAGGAATAAGCCAAGAATGTGCCTCATAAGGACTACAGCATGATCCATTAACAAATCAGACCATATCAAAAGTAAAAACTTTTCTATGCATATTATTATAAGAATAAAAATACAAGCTATAGATTAAAAGAAAATATATTGAAATAGTATATTTTATAAAGGACATGTACTCAAAATATATAAGATACTTTCAAAGCTCAATTATAAGAAAATATAACTTGTTAAGAACTTTATTAAATACTGGAATAAGTACTTTACCATTGATGGCCTATAGATGGTAATAACCATGTGAAAAGATGCTCACCATTATTAACTATTAGGTAATGCACACCCAAAGAGATATAACTGTTTTTCTTTTAAAAATGGGAAAAAAAAAAAAGGACTTTTGATATAGAGTGGTGGCAAACTTACGGAGCGCCTAGAATTCTAGTTGCCTGGGAGAAAGGTAACATGGTGCAGTGCATTTGAAAAACAGTTTGATAATTTCTCAAAATTTAATTGTATATCTATATATGACCCACTCATTCCCCTCACGGTATTCACTTCAGAAAAATGCAAGTATGTGTTTGTACAAAGATTTCTACTGAATGTTCATAAAAGCTTTATTTACATAGTCAAAACCTGATAACAACATGGAATTCATCAACCTGCTAGTGGGTAAAAAAACTGGGCTACATCCATATATGGAATAATAATCATCAATAAAAATAACTACTGCTACAAAGAGAAACAGCTAAACCTTGGGATAATCATTTTGACTAAATGCCATAGAAAAAGCAAGTAAATACTATAGGACACGCTCTACAAAATTCTAAAATTCCTCCGCAGTCTGAAAGCAGAGATACTGTCTCAAGGTTTAAAGTGTGGGCAACAGAGAAGGGCCAAGGGCAGGGCTAAAGCAGGACAGGAAGAAAATGGGACTGATGCATATGTTCATTATCTTGATTGTAGTAATGGTTTCACTTGTGTACATTAGTCAAAATGTATCATACTGTATACTTTACATATAAGCAGATTTCTGTACACCTCGAAGTTGTTTCTAAAAAGTGGCACCACTGATCCAAGAATGGTTGCTTCTACAGGAAAGCAGGCCTTTTACAGAACACAGAGAGAAACATGAGCACAAACTATCTCCTTAACAAGCTTAGCTTTGGTATGGTAGAGAAAGAGAGAGAAGATGAGGGATCCTCACAGAACCAAAAGAAGGTTGAGTTATATGTATTTTAAAATGAGAGGAATTTGAGTATATTTATATGCTATATAGAAAGATGCCAGGGCAGAGAACACAAAGTTGAAAAATTTGGGATGGAAATCCAAGAAAAATTTCAAGTCTTGAGTAAGAGAAACATTGTAAATATAAATGCAAACATGCTTTGTGGTTAGGCTGAGATTTAAGGCTTTGTATTCAATAATACTCTTTCTCTTCCATTTTGGAAAAACTGAGGTATGAGAGGAAAAGTACACAAATGAAAAATGTTGGAGCACTGGACATGTCATTGGCTCAAGCTGTTGCAATGGTGGTTGGAGATAAATGCTCCATTTAGGAGCAGTCTTATGTAACAAGATGGCAGACAGGAGCATCTAAAATACGTATGTCATAGTAAGCATATAAAATACGTATGGCATAGTATCCTGCAGGCCTGTGCTTTCTCTCCCGTTACCTCTCGCTACATTACATTCATGTGCCAATCATTCTTTCTTCACCTACTTTTCCCTCAATCTACAATAGCTTCTTAACAAACCCTTTAGTTTTGTTGGAAAATATTTTTGACACACAAAGATAATAGAGAATTATTTAATGAACAGTAGGATTTTGTAACTCAGTTCATCAAATGTGAACACAGTTCCACATTTATCTCTATTTTAAAAATGCTTAAACCAAATATAGGGTTACTGGTCAAGAGAGACTTAATCATCAGCAAACATTAACATAATTATTTACTTTTTTACATTTCTTAAATTTCATGAATAATATTTAGAGCGCCTCTGAGAACTTCAGGTACTGTGGTTAGGCAAAAAGTCAAATATGGCCCAAAAGCACCACTGGCAACCTAATTAGGTATTTTCCTTGAAGTGAATAGTTAATAAACAAAAGCCATGCAAATTAGATCATACCCACAGGTACTAGATTCAGAAAAAAATGTTCTTGTAAAATACAGAATTTAAATAAAAATGATAATTATGACTCACAGTATTGACACTATTTTTCTTTAGCATTCTAACAATCATTGCCATTTTGGCATGCCAATATATGGGTAAGGTTAATAATAAAAAATAATCCCCTTCCCATCATGTAAGGTTCTGAAGCTGAAAACACTGAATCAGTTTCTAAAGATCATTCTTATGCTGTAAAAAAAAAAACTCTCATTAAAAAGAAAAATTATAATTTGGACAGTACCTGCCAAAAAACACTGTGTGCATCTCCTCTGAGAAGTTCAATGGTATCCCCCGCCTGGATATGTAAGGGAGGTCCTTCATGAAGACCCGGGGGTGGTGTTCCAGTGTAGTTTCTAATCACCTGCATTTTTGGTAAACCTGAAAATAAAAAGCAAACAAGTTTTAAAATTGAGAAAGCAATGATGTATGACGTCTGAATGTATTTTTTTTAAAAGGAGTCATTAACTTTAAAAAGTTTTAATCACACCAGGTTCAAGTAAACATTTGAAGTAGTCCAATGGACTGCTTTTCAACTTTCTCCTTATTTGAGATGGTAATGGAAACAGGCATATATTTATCCCCTGATCCCTTACGTACTTTTCCTCTCCTCCCCACCAATCTTTTTAGTTGAAAAAATATTTCTCTTTTAGCCGATGCCTGCCTCATAAAAACCACATCACGTACAGTTTAATGGAAAAGAATCAATTTTTTCATCAACTCTATCCTTTCTGCCTATTACTTTCCTCTTGGGCACTGGCTGATTTCATCACTAAGGAGGCTCACCCTTTCTGTCTATGTATCACATGAGCAGAATAAGGCTCATATCTTAAGGTTATCTTTGTAATGCAAAAGCAAAAAAGGTGATGGATGTGCCCCTGCAATACTTAAGACATTTATATGGAGAAACTCTTCAGGCTCAAATTTAGGCTTGCAAAACAGACCCAATAAAAGGAACATGCCTGGGCCAATAGCATCAACAATATTTAAAATACAGATCTTCCTCTTCTTTTTGTAGTTCTTACAATGTGCAGTGAAGGCCTCAGTTCAATATTTCATTTTTGAGAACAGCAGCTTCAATTGTACATGGGCCTAATTGCACCAGTACTGGTCACAAATGGACAAACTTACAGTCACTTTTTCATTCAGAAGTGAAACTACTCCCTCCTGAGAGAGAGAGAGAGAAATCACTCATAAACATAGAATTTGCTGCACATGTAAGGACTTGTGCCATTGCTTGGTACATTTTAGGAATTTCTCTTCTGATGATGGACTGGTGATGGGATCCCAGTGCAGCACAAAGCAAAGAAAGGAGGAGGAACCACTTATCTGGTTCTAGAGGTCTAAGTTACCTAGAAAAGACCTTGATTGATAGCTGCATGAAATGCTCCTCAAAGAATTAATAAGATTTCAAAATTCTTACAACAGGTTGTAGGCAACACTTCCTTATCAATCCAGTGGATCAGAAGGCAGAGGGCTGAAAACCACTGCGCTGTTCGCCCAGTGTACATGGTGGCTGCTGAGTCCTGTAGTGACTGCCTCATCTCCTTTCGCCTTCAGTTCTTGTGCCACTGACCTGGAGGCACGACTACCCCACATCTCTCATGGAATGTTTCCTGGCTGCACATTAGAAGGTGACTCTCACTGCAACAGACTTTATTGCTTTCCTCAGAACAACACTTTGATTAGAAAACTCTTCTTGGTAAAGAGTTTATTAGGCTTTTTCTCAACACACAGTAAATGTCTTCAGAACAGAGTGTGCACATTCTATTAAACGGCTACTGTTAACCTAAAATTGAAGCTAGATATTTCATACACATGACAACTGACTTAAAAACTCAACTGATGAAAGTGACTCTGGAAAGTAGAATTGTTCAGAGTTTTGGTTTGCTTGACAGCTTTGCCATGTTTAGGGGTCAAAGTTATGGTTAACCTCCATTTTATGAACATTTCTAGGACATGGAATGCATTTCATCTGGTAGAATCCCTGTGCAATTTTAGTTTTAGGTCAGTTTTTATTTAAGTAGAGGACAAAGCCAATAAAGAAGAGTCTTTCAACACGAAATAGCTCATATGGCAGCATATATGATGGCCAGGCGAATTTCTTCATTGTTGATATGCCCAAGTTAGTCACACTCAAGAAGCAATGATTTAAAATTCATAAAATTTTTAGGAAGAATTTAACTTTGAGGACATTTCATTACCCAAATCTGTATTAGTATAGTATGGAAAGGCCCGGGTTACATATGAGGCTGCAAGATGTGAAATATACAGACAGGCGATAATGTTGTTGCATGTCTTTTCTGATGGACTGAAATGTCTCAACACATAGCCTAGTAAAATCGTAATATTTAAGATGGAAAAGTGTATGTATATTATTATTACTATACTCTGGTTAAAAAGTAAGATTTATGCTGCAAAGTAGCAAAGATGGACTTGTATTTAAGAGTCCCCCTTATTCCTCATTTTGCATTTATTCTGATTTCTGTGATTATTCTTCATTATGAATTTCATATAGGAAGTTTAACTGGAAGTACACTAACATAGGTATGTTGCCAATCTCCTTCCTAAAAAAAAAAAAATGTGATCTTTGCCAAGCATTATGTTAGCATTATGGCTAAACCTAGGTACAGTCAAGAGGACACTGTAACTAGCCTCAAATCAGCCATAAACAACTGGTAAAGTACAGTGTTCATTAAACAGCCGTTTGAGACCGACTTGCTGTATGGGATTCAGGCTATACAGATCAAAGGATTAAAAGAATGAAACAAGGGCAGAGCAAAGATGAGTTCTGACACTTTGCTTCTTGGTTCTGATGCTGACATACAGTTGGTGTGCTATAATACCAGTGGGATGAATGCTTGCTTGGTGGAAGGCCCTTTTGTATTTCCTTTATAAAAAAGGAATAGGAACAGCTCTGTGAACATAATCACATTAATCAAGTTTTTAAATGCAATTAAAGTAAGAAAAAAGAGAATGGGTTAAACTTCACACCAGCACTCAACCGTCAATGTAACACTTAACACAATCTATTACCACAGCAGGCATCTCTCTTCACAAATGAGACCAAGAACAGAGAATAAATTAAATGTACTGATGCTCATATTTTGAATAGCCATTTATTGTTGATTTAGTGCAGGTTTTTCCTCTCCCTTTATAATATATGCCTGACAGGTTTTAACCTCTGTTTAAAAATGGCCAGGTTACAACATTCACTCCATGTCCCCATGACAACTCAGTCGCTGTGGCACTGATTAACAAGGTTTTCCTGAAATCTACTTAAAACTCTCTCTGTCTGTAGCCTCTCTTCACTGACCTGCCTCATTCCATCTGGAATAATGCTGAAGAAGGCAAATCCCCCTGCTATAGATTGTGGTTTTAAAATATGTTGTCTGAAAATATCTAGTTCTTTAAAAAATCATATTTTCCCTTGGCTATGCATACTTCAAGGGATTCTGAGATGCAAAACCAACACAAACTATCAATGTAGAAATGTAGTTTTCTTAATTGACACTAATTAATCAGAAATAAATAGCCAAAGGTTATTTTTTTAAAATGACCCAAACTATGTATCTGATTATATTATACACTCATAGCTCATCTCGGAAAGCTGTTTCCTTTTTCTTGGCAAAACGCAGACTCAGTACTTGTTTATTGCCACCCCACAACAACATATACAGTGTATAAGTTGGTACAATTACAGCTCTGTTACTATCCTCATAGCCTCAGCATTAAAGGCAAAATGATGTGTGATTTCAACATATATATTTGGGCAATCTTGGAAATTCCTGAAACTTTATATAGCCAATTATCTTTATCTAAGAGAATAATGATTAAAATAGCTCAGAGAAAATTATATCTCTTGCCAGATGGTTAGTTGTTTTGGCTTGTTTTATTCCCTGTGACAAATGCTCTGTTGTACAGTAACTATACACTTAAACTTTAGCTTGGGGACAATTTTGCCCTTTAATTTGTATTCATACTAGTAATTGTCCTTGGGTATTAAATCAGACAAAGTCGCCAAGTTTCCCTTATGCATGAAAGATTAACATCCAGAACTAGTAATATTACAGTGATGGTTATACTTCAGAAACAGAGAATTCTGGTTAAATAAGACTAAAACCATATATAAGTATGTGGAAATGCTAACACTGGAAGAAAATTAGAAATTGTTTTTAATAGGGTTACAGAAAATAAGATTTCCTTTCAAATCTGATTTAAATGCCACTAAGAGTTTTTTAAAAATGTTAATAGAAGGTTAAATTTCATTGGAAATTTGCCAGATATAAAGTGTTCCACTAATAATTGTTATTTAAACCCTTCAGACTTCAATGAACTCAACAATGGCTCATATCAGCATCCTTCACTGTGTCTTCAAAGCAGGACAAGAAGAGTGATTGCCACAATACAGATTAGTACCTATGAACAATGTTGATACTACTCCCTAATGCAATGGGCTTCCCTGGGGCAATAATTTAGAGGATGGTGCTGCCTTTGAGATAAATGGGCTGTCAGTAATGTGCTGGCCTTTCACCTCTGGGGTGTAATTTAAAATCTAAACACAGCCATATTAAAAAATAATTAGTTTTACAAAATGTTGGTGGTTGGTTTATCCTAGAAAACTGATCACAAGCATAACATATTCATTCACTCATTGACTGTGCCTTGTGTACACCATAGTGCTGAGCATGGCAGCTTCAGAACAGAGCAGGGGCAAGGTTCCCACCCTCAATCATCTTTACTCACCCCATGAACACACAGGGAATATTAAATCCACAATATGTATGGGCATGGTATCTTGTATGGTGGCAGCTCTGAAAAGATATTCCTAGCCATAAACATTTTAGAAAATTTTATTTAACAAGATTTTTATATATGCATTCATTTTTTTATACAAGTTTCCTGGCTGCAACTTCCAGACTCTAGTTGGGTTTCAGAATTTCACCTATGCAGGTACATGGACAAAGCATTTTGACCAACATCAACCATGACCAAACTTGCTTTTGAGAAAAATGTAGTGAAAATTACAGTGGAGCTATCTGACATCATACTGAAAAACTTGCTTTAAATTAAAATTTGGGTCCTTTTTCATATAAGTCCACAATCTAAACTTCAAGTTTTGAGAGTCAGGTTAAGTACCTACGAGGCTGGGTGCTAGGTTTCCCCTGCCCATCACATTAGCAAGGGCTCTTTCCAAGAAAGCACTGCTCTTTCCCATACTTGATGGACTTCCTACAGGAGCAGAGGCTTTGAATGGAAACCATCTGCTACAGCAGAAGCAATCTGGTGAAAAACAAACTAGAGAACTAATTGTTCAAAAGGGAACACTTCCCATCAGTGATTTTTAAAAATTTTCGCCCAGAGAAATCTACTTTACTTTT